GCGGAGCTATGTCCAACAATGCATTTAGAGCGTCGCCTGGTGCCGAGTGGAAGGCTCCCGTGATGATTAGACATGCCATCCGTTGTATGCTGTCTAGTTTACTCATAGTTGTCTTTTGTTTGGTTTTGTTACACCATACGACTGAGGCGTATGTTATGATCGGCCTTACCACGGCGGTGTACATCCAGAGAGCCATTTTGGGCTTGAGGCCCCACTTGGCTCCAGCCATTCGACAACATATCCAGAGGGCCATTTTGGCTTTTTGTATAATGTTGTTGAGGTGAGAGTTCCAGGTCAACTTTTGATCAATAGTGACTCCAAGGTACTTTACCTCATTTGATAGGTTAAGGGTTTTGCCATTGAGTCTGAGTTCGGTCAGCCTTTCAAGCTTCCTTTTCCTGGTAAATGGTACAATAACTGTTTTATCAGCGTTTATTGATAACTCATTTTCTCTGCACCATCTTGTGATGGTATTGAGAGCTCCTTGTAACCTGGTGGAAATTGTGTTCAGGCAGGGACCTCTTACTACTACAACAAGGTCATCTGCATAGCCCTGTGTATCGTAGTCGAGATCTGCCATGATTACAAGTAGTAGGTCTACAGCTAGTGTCCATAATAGGGGTGAAAGCACTCCTCCTTGCGGACAGCCTCTTGTAGTGTAGAAGTTGTGCGAGTGTTCGTTTAACGTAACTTTCGCACACCGGTTGGAGAGCATATATTCCACCCATCTGGTGGTTGTGATATCAACACCTTTTGCATTTAATCCTTTCAGGATGGTTGCCGTAGGTGTGTTATCAAAGGCCCCCTCAATGTCCAAAAATGCACATAGAGCTGTCTGCTTATCCTCTAGGGACCTTTCTGCCTTGTCGATCAGAGCTACTAAGGCAGATTCTGTGGATTTACCCTTTTGGTAAGCATGTTGGTTGCAGGAAAGTGGTCTAGCCACAAGATACCTTGTTCTAATGTGCTGATCGATTACTTTTTCCATTGTTTTTAATAGGAAAGAAGTAAGACTAATAGGTCTAAAGGATTTGGGCTGAGAGTAGTCGTTTTTACCGATCTTCGGTATAAAGATAACCTTGACCTTAGTCCATTGTTCTGGTATAATGCCCAAAGCAAAGCTTGCTCTAAATAATTTTACCAGATGCGGGATAAGGAGTTCCATGCCCTGTTGAAGCAGAGCTGGAAAAATTCCGTCTTCCCCTGCTGATTTAAATGGTTTGAATTTTTTCAAAGCCCATCTAATCTGGTTAGGCCTAAAAATGGTGTTGGCCATCTTCCAGTCGCAACTATTTGCCCTGTGGATGTAGTTTTCCTTTGGGTTTGATTCACTGCCGGTGACAGGGTACGATCCTGGGAAATGGGTTGCTCTTAAAAGTTCCAGCGTCTCCATCTCTGTGGTCGTGAAGGAATTGTCTCGCTTTTTTAAAAAGCCGAGAAAGATGTTTGGTGTCTTGGCAAGGACCTTGTGGATTCTCGCTCCTTTATGTGTTTGGGCGATATTCTCACAGAATCGTTTCCAAGATGCTCTTTTAGCTTTTCTGATCTCTTTGTGGTATTTAGTCAGAGCCTTCTTATACCGTTCCCACCCATACGGTGTAGTGGCCTGATTAAATAAGCGACGTGTGGAAACTCTAAGTCGTTCTAGCTTTTTGTTCCACCACGGAGTATTGTTGTTAACCTTAAGTTCCCTGACAGGACAGCTATTTTCATAGGCATTTAAGATGCCATCCGTTAATAAGTTGTTTAAAATGTTAAGGGAGTCGGGTGTCTTGATTGATTTTGGAAAATCCTTGGATTTTGGAAAATCCTGCCTCAGCGAGCAGGTTTTTAAAATCTACCCACGAGGTGGCTTTGGGATTTCTAAGCCTTTTAGGCTCAGTAGTTATTGAGCCTTGTATGCTAAAGACAATATGTTTGTGATCGGACAAAGAGTTTTCATTACTGACATGCCATTTACTTATGTGTTTAGCGATTTGTTCAGTAGCAAAAGTGATATCCAGAACTTCCTGCCTAGCTCTAGTAGCGAAGGTTGGATTACAGCCTTTATTAAGTATTTGAAGGTCGTTAGCTAGGAGAAATTCTAAAAGTAACTCACCTCTTTTGTTGGTATCAGTACTTCCCCAGATTGTGTGATGGGCGTTTGCATCGCAGCCAACAATTAGTTCTGTCTTGTGTTTTCGAGCGTAGTCGACGACTTTAGACAGTTCTTCGGTGGGGTTGGCTTTCTCTCCGGGCAGGTAGGCCGAGCACACAAGTGCTCTAGTTTGACCACGCCCTCTGAGAACGGTGATTGCAGCAACGGTGTCATCACTGCAAAGTTCTGTAACAGGCAAGAAATTAATACCTTTCTTAAAAACGATACAGGCCCTAGGCTTGGTGCCATTTTCGTTTGCTAGGATCTTACCTACTCCATTTAAGCCCGAAATCTTGGACTTGGCGTTAAGCCATGGTTCCTGGACCAGCGCTATATCCATGCCATTTGCCCTAAAAGTGTTTTCTGCCACGGCTGTGGCAGCGATAGCGTGGTGTAGATTGGCTTGGAGTATTTTAGTGGGGGCGTCGCCAGTTGGGTGTGAAGCGCTACTAGGGACGGGCCCCATTGCGCTTGTCACTGCCCTTGCTGGGTCTGGGTCCCTTTTGTTTGCGGGGGCGCTGGCTCTTGCCTCTGGGGGTTTGTCCACCCCTGGTGTGCCCCCCTGTACGAGGAAACCTGTGCGGAGTACCAGTCGCTCCGCTGGTCCCGGCCACAGGAGCCACGCCAGGTGCAGCAGATGGTAAAGGCGCAGCAACGCTGGCGTTTGCTCCAGCAGCCGCGGCCCCAGAACGAGAGGTAGACGGCACAGGTTCAGAGGGAAGTGTCCCAGGATTCGTTGGCGTCTGGTTGATGCCCTTAATACGGAACTGGACCGATTTGAAAGCCAAGTAGGCCTTCATGCCGGTTTTTTGAAGGGTCTCAACAGATTGGTCGTCGATGGAGAGGGTGAGTGTGATTCCGCCCTTCTCCGCCTTCCTATTGAGAACCTTCCACAGCTCCGTATTAAGGCCATCATTTTGTATCCGGAGACAGGAGAGCGCCTTATCAACGTCTTTGGACTCCGGATCGGGAATGTATACCACCCCAACCTTTGGTTTGGGCAAGTCGCTCTCATTAATGAGAGCGAGCTTAGCTCCTGGCCACGGCTGTAAGGAAGGTATACATTTCTCAAGCCATTCCCTGGCATGCTGGTTAGCACAGGTAATGAGTAGCCAACCTGGCTTGAATGATAGTCCGCCAAAGGCAGGTCCCTTACCCTTCTCCAAAGTGGTGATTTGGGCCACAATTGCGTTGTAGAGTGACTGCAGCTGTGCGTCAGTCATGGGAGTGGAGTCCCTCACGCCAACTTTGGAGGAAGATAAGGCCGCACTATAGGCAGCTGGAGGTGGTGGGGCCGACGGTGCTTCGCTCGACCTTTGGGACTTCCTCGCTGGTTGTCCCTGTGGTGATTCCTCCTCCGAGCGAGTCCTTTTGATGGAGCGCTCGGATTCGGGTTTCGAAGCATCGAAACGATACCCCATAGCCCTGAGTTCCGCAAAGGTTTTAGCGGACAGTTCGTAGGCTTTTGCAGCCTCCACTCCCTGTCCCCTAAGAGCCTTAAATCGGATTAAGGCTGCCCCACTCAATCTTTTGCGCTTGGGTCGGGCAGCATCAGAGGAGGTGGCAGCAGGGTTACCAGTAGGTGATTCAGGGCTTGTAGAAGCCCCTATCGCCATTTCGGTGCCTGCAGTCACCTCCATTGGTTGCGCTGACATTTGGGCGGTTTCATCCGCACCCACAGTCAGCGGCATGAGGTCCTGGCACAATTCGTCCAGGGTTTGTGACGTGGTAGCGTCATTTACTTTTTTATGTTTTTGATCCATACTCATTCAAGTCCCACGAGTAGCTAGGGAAATAATAATGCCCACCGACAGAGCCCCGCATGTCGATGGGAGGACTTAAAATACTACCCGATTCGTCCAGGTGTCGGATAGCCACCGTTAGCGACTGAGCTCCCCCCCAGCCACGCATCTCTCGGCACGGTACGAATAACACCTTGGATTGGGTTCTAAACTAAAGCTATACATATACGTACATATATATTTCATAGATACACTTACATAAACATACATAAACATACATATATAAATAAAAGTGAAAGCAAGCGCTCGGTGTTTTCTGTTGCGTCTATTTCCTAGTGAACTAGACCAATAACAGGGCTGGCAACCTCGTGAAGGATAGTACACCGAACTTGCCTTGGGGATCTTTGCGACAAAAGCGTCACTCTCCCCCAAGACCAACGCCACCCTACCGTCTCTGAAGGAGACAGTAGGGTAGGCCTGCGCCTACACTACCATGCGAAGCATGTCGTAAGGGAACCGTGAAAGCATAGATCCAGGCCCGCCCCAACCTATGTGTTATTCCATACCAATCTGTGTGCCTCATTTAGATACGTTCAGCCGTTCTGGCGTGAAAGAGTAACAAACATCCATACTCACACACACATTTATAATATTAATACGGATTTATGCGATTAATTAATTAATGGGATGATAGAGATTAATTTAGGGAATGTACATACATACTGTGTCGATCCCATAATGGCTAAAATCAAAAAGAAGATGTAAGTTAAAACATAACACTTTTTAATGAACGTTGGTGCGCAAATGAGACTCGTAACTGTCTCATTTTTATATTTGACTGTACTTATTAGGAATAAGTCTGAAAATTTCATAAATATATTTAAAAAAAAAACTTATGTACCGATTTTTTTTACTGAACCGATTCAGACTACTACTACCTACCAGAAACTAACCCATTACTAAAAAAAATATATTATTTTACTTAAATTACGTATATTACTCTAGTTTTCTTAATTTAGTTTCTCTGTTCCAGGTATAAACTAAAAAGCTGTGAGTGTGAAGTGTGAACATTAAAATAATGTCGAACAGTTTCACGAAATGGTGGCGCTAATGTGAACAAGATGGCGGATGGTTTTGGCGGGAAAGGCGCGTTCGTGCTTCTATTACTGCTGCTGAAAAACACTGTGGGCCAGATGGGACGAGAGAGCGAAGACCTGGGTTCGAGTCTTTTTTCTTTAATGTAGTATTTTTAAGTAAAATAAAATATATATTCGTGGCGTTGGAGGTTATAATTCAAAGAATATTTGGCATATATTTCACATACATTTACCTGATTCTTTACGTTTTTACCTCATTTCTAGTAGTGTGAGAATTTTCTATCGTTATCGTTAAAAACAAGAATAGCCGTTATGTCTATCAAATCGAAATTTTCTCCAAAAATATTCATGTTATTATAGAGGACATAAAAAATCCATATTCCATTATGAGGTTTTTTCGCAATATAAAATATACTAAATAGATAGTATGCTAGCAACTTACGTCAAATAATTTCCGAATAAGAGAACAGTCATATAATTTTCATGCTCTTTTATGGTTTTACGCCATAACTTTCACTGGTTGTGTAAATCGTTGTTCCATTAAAAATTTTGAGTTAGGAATAGAGAGTTCATTTATGTTTGTGCTCTATAATATTTTCCACGCACTTGGCACTCATCTCAATGAGATCGGTTGCCAAATTATTTTTAGATCATGCATTGAGCAAAGAGAATATCTTGTTTACGACAACAAATTCTTTTATTAATTATATAAGTAAATATTTTATACAAGGTTAGGTTATGCAAAACATTATACTATTTTTTGGATTTTTAACCCATCAGAGTTTCATCTCAATCAGATCAATGGTTTACAAACGCGTAGAGGTAAAACATACTAATATTCATTTTTATTAAGCTATTGCATAGCTTCTATCGCGGGCCTTGAGCGTGGGGACCGAATCCAGTAATTCCGTAACGAAAAAAACCTAACACCCCCCACTCAGATTTGACATCTGACATCTGACGTTTCTGACGATCTGACATTTGACATCTGTTTCGCTAAGAAGTAACACATTTGCTTGCCTCGTAACTGAATGTTATAAATCGTATTTGTGACTATTTAGACTTTGGCAGTTGAAAGTAATTATTGAAATGCCATTTCTATTACTAATGGAATCTAATACACTTTGAGCTATTGTCTGAACACTATTTAGAGACAGTCTTTTGAATTCTTGCAACAAAGATGCAGTCGATGCAGCTTGCTTTCGAAAATATTGAATTTGAAAATGAATAATGATCCACAAGAATCCACAACAAAATATGGAACCACCATTGACGCGGTATTTTCCAGATATTTAGAAGATATCAAGTCTCAAAGTTATGTTTCTTATTTCAGTTACCATAAACCTATAGTTTCAATGATAAATATTCCTGAAGAACCGACATGTATTGAAAGATAATAAAAATATTTTGAACAATATTAACGTCTCATTTATTTAATAAAAGAAAAAAAAATGTTTTTTTATCGGTCACCACGCTCAAAGTGTAACTTGAATTAATATCAAAGAAAAAAAAACAAAGGAAAAAAAATACTGCATTAATAAAATAAATAAATAATTATAATTGCATAAGTTGATAAAAAATGCTATGCAATAGCTTTACCGCGGCAGTCTCCGAGTGCCACACGTCTTTTTATGTATAGATTTAAATAGATTATATCATGTACTATTTGAGAGAAGTAGCCATTATGTTTTCTTCTCTTCTTTTTTCTTTCAGCCAGACACTCCCTAAAGCAACTTTTATCGACAGGATAACATGTAAAATTTTTATACCCTCCAGTCTCATTTTACAGAATGTTGCCTATATTTTAACGAAATTCTCGAGATCTATGTTCTAATGGATAGTTCTATATTCCCATACAAGTGAGAAGTTAGAAATTACAGGCATTGAATGTTGAAAGGTAAACTAGGAAGTTATAATTTTTAAGCTATATTTTTGGCAATGTTTATTTGGAAAATCTGAGCAACCACGAGGGTTGATGTTAATTTTTAACGAGTACATGCGTAATTTAATACAGCGTTTATTCCTGTGAAAATTTTTTGGATGACTCACACAAATATATAATAATACATATTATAAAGAAGATTTGTTTATTTGCTTATTTGTATTAGATAATCTCAGAAACAACTGAACTGATTTCAATAAATCTTTTATCATTAGAACGATATTTTAAATGTACGAGATGTACAAGATGTACAAGCAAAGCTAGGGTGGATAAATAGTATTACATGCCATAAGTTACTAAGTAAAACAAAATCTGATTCATAAATCATAATCATTTTACCCGACAATCATAGTATAGTATCTCAGTAAACTAAACTAAACTTTCATGCTATGTTAAAGCTTGGCGTTTTTTTTATTGTAGTATACGGTAATTGGGTTCACCATCTTTTCAAGACTTCTCGTTTGCTAAGAAAATGTTTTCAACATTAATAACCTAGTTCCAAAGGCGATGAGAGTAAAAAATACTACACTTACTCGAAAGATTGTAATAAATGGAAATATTTTATATAAATTGTGAGAAAAGGGAGATGGAAGTTAGTTTCTTATTTTGTTATTAAACATTTTCTATAAAGATAAGTTGATCTTGGATCTTTCGTTTTTGCTTTCAATACTTTATAATGGAACTGGGAAGCGTATCTGTTTGTGTGTTGATTTTTTATAAGCCGTTTAAAATTTTTTGTAGATAACAAGTTTACAAATTGAATTACTGATTTACTTTCTCCGGTTCGCTGGGGTGCGTCCCTAGGTACCTAACTCCAGCTCATATCTATATGACTGTAGTATGTCATAGTTTATCTATGTACTAGTTTTTATCTAAATCCATCAAGTCATTTTGGCGTAAAGGTGTAACATACACGTACACACACAAACATTCATATGTATAATAAATAGTAGAACACGAGTACTACATAGTGATTAGTGTGTTTTCTTTTTGACTATGACGAGATATTGTCAACCTAAATTCAAAACCTGTTATATCAACTGGCACCGCTTACGTTAATACGTTATTTATACTTTAATATTATAAAGAGGCAGAGTTTGTTTGTTTATTTGATTGAACGCGCTAATCTCAGGATCTACTGATCCGATTTGAAAAAAATCTTTCTGCATTAGATAACCCCTTAGTTGAGGAAAGCTATAGGCTAATTGTCATCCCGGAAAAATGTACAGTTCCCGTAGGATAGACTCGTTTTTATGTAAGGACGAACCTAAAGCGAAGCGAGGGTGAGTCGCTAATGTAGTATATCTATCGTTGCACGGTTGTATAAAATTTTACTTCTGTATTTTACTTGTAGCTCATATTATAAATTAGTTTTTACAATGTGGGATAATTTACAAAATATCTTTAGCTTCTATAATATAATATTTCACGATCACATTACGGAATCAAGTTGCGACATGGTTGGATATAAAAGTGAAATTATTTTATTAACTACTATCGACTTACCCTCGCTCGGGTACGTCCCTCTCGAGAAAGTTAGGGTTCCGTTCAAAAAAATAAAACATAGCGGCCTATGTTTTGAGCGGAACCCTAATTCTTTTTCTATAATAAAAGTAGCCAAAGTTACTCTTTATAACATCCACTATCTGCCAGTGAAAGTGTGGGAGATTAGCCGAAACAAATAAACAAACAGACAAAATTCAAAAATGTGTTTTTCTTATAAGTAACGTATGTAGTTTCATATGCATTTAGAAAAAAGCTTTCATTTCGACATTACAAACAGACATTTCACTACTTGTTCAATATATACTATGTACATAATATGTAGGCTAGTTAGTAGTTATTCTAAATATAACTATTTTTTCGGATTATTTCGCGGATTCATTTTGATTTTTGATTCCCGACGTTTCAAATGCTTTACAGCGTACATAGTCACGGGAGAGACTAAGGTTTAAGACGTTTCAAAAGTTACTAGGTACGAGTATATAGTTGATACAGACAGTATCTACCCACAAAAATAATTACCTGAAAAAGCAGTTTTATTTAAAATCTCATATATTTATTACCTATTTAAAGAAGTTATTAAATCCCTGTCTCTTTTTAATCGACTAAAAAATGGACGGGTTTCTCAATTCGACACGTATGTTTTTATTTATGTTTACCATGCAATACTTTTTACAGTGTAGTCCGATTTCGATGATTCTTGTTTTATTGGAAAGGGTCAAACCTCAAAGTACCTCAAAGTTGGTCCTATTTAAATTTGAAGCACAAAGTGCAGAAAGTAGAGGTTGATTGATTTTTCACCCACTGGATTTTTGAAATACATTATTCTTACTTAGCTACTACGTCTACACTAAAAAAGGAAAAATAAAAACTAAAAAAAAGAATATAAACCGACTTCAAAAAAAAACACACTCTAAAGTTAAAAATAACTGATTGGTAGGTTTCATTTTCTAAACATACTCGTACCTACATAATCAAGTATTTTCGAAGTCATTGCAAGCCGATGCAAAGCAAAGCACACACACTACAAATACTACTTTTTAGTGTTTTTTTAAGTCGTTTTTTTTAATTTTTATTACTCAAGAAATGTTTGCCAAAATTTATCAGGACATTTGCTAGACTATCCAATTTTCTTATAATACCTGTTGACATAGCAGAGCCCAGTTAATCTCAGAACAACCTCAACTTAGGCAATAGTCCGGGCCTGGATTTAGACCAAACTTATGGACGAAGTTAGATTGCTATTTTCAGAACTGTGTAACAAAGAATCCCTTGACGATAATTAGCTGTTTACATGTCGGCTAAGATTTGTCATTTAAACTTAGTGATTATTTTAAAGACCGTAATTTAGATAAATACAGACCGTAATATAACCCCTATTTATATAAATAGGCAAAGACAAAACGGTACAGAAAATTTTTCTCCTCTGTTTTTCAACCGATTTTTTTTTTCGTTTAGTAGCTTTGACGAGCTTTATTTGTTATCAATAAAAAATTGGAAACAGTTTTTTTTTCATATATGTAGGTACATATATTAATAAAATTAAAACTGCATAAAAACGTTTTACTTAAAATGTCAAATATTCACGTAAAAATGACATAAGTTTTTATATAAAAAAATAGAAAACGGATTTAAAAAATTATATAAGCTAATATGATGCGATCTTTTAACTAATA